GGCCCCGGGGCGGGCCCGGCGCGGGGGCACGTGGGGCTGGCTTCCCCGCAGGGACGAGCTGGCACCGGGCCGAGCCCCGTCCTGGGCTGTCTGACACCGTGGGCGGCAGCTCGACAGCCCTGCGACGCCCTAGAGCTCCTCCGCTGTCCTGGAAAATAAACCCATTTTTTGTTGGCTGCTGCCCAGGAAAAAGCCCATGAGCGAGGCGGGCACACCCTGCTGCCAACGAAACCCAGAGCTCGGCTCTGCAAGCGTGCAAGGCGCCGCGCTGCAGAAACGCAGCCTTGCAAGCGACCTGCCGGGCCGATTCGTCGCCATGTTCCCTGGCAGCCGCCCAGAGCGACTTCCTCTTGGCGCATCCACCTGCCTTGTACCTGCCCATCCAGCAATGCAGCGACCGAGCACCTCCCTGGGATTTATGGGATTAGCCTGGTAACCAGAATATTAAAATATCGTTTGCAACACAAATACAGCCTCCCCCCCAAGGCAGATCGCTCAAGACAGCCTCAAGCGTAAGCATAAGCCGCTGTTCCCTACTCCTGCCACCCTCGTGCTCTAGGAAGACGCCCTGGAAAGGTGCCTGGCTGGGATCCCCGTTGCAGGAGGAGGGCGATGGCCACAGTCTACTCGGCTTGGAGCATCTCGGAGCCCGCGGGAGCCACGAAACACCCTCAGTGACACCGGTGAGCTCTCCCAGCCTCATGTGAAAGCAGCTGGGCGACCAGTGGGGATTTTAAGGTTTCAATCTGAGTGAAACAAATGCCTTCTAGGCCCCAAATTAGGAAGTGAAAGCAGATGTCACTTTGCAAAATAATCAATGGCAAACCCCAGATCGCCTCCCTCCCCTCGCGCCTGTGCTACTGTTCTGAGTTCCCGGGCCGGTTTCAAGACCAGGCGGCTCGGCAGTGGCGACTGCGTGTTAGTCACGCTCCGAGTCACTGCAGCAGAACCAGGGCGAATCGAGATTTCAAAGAAATAAACTCATCTCTTGCCACTGCCTTCCTACGGCTGGAGGGAAGTCGGAAGCGGCAGGATTTCCCAGATGTATTCTGCTCTACCCTCGCTCTCTCTTATTAACCAAAAAAAAAGGGCTGAGGCAAAACCCACTAAGATGATGGAAACACCCAGCTTCCCATCAGCTGGGTTACCCTTAACCAAATAGGTTAGTCATGGCACGCACCCGGAGCACAACCAGGTCCACAGCAACCCAATGCTGGCTTTGCTCCAATCTTGGCCAGCTATCATGGACCTGGCAACTACTGAAGCAGAAGGACACATCCTTTGACCCCTAGGAGCTCCTCAAGGCAGCTCTCAGACAACACTAGGCCGACAAAGCGCCTCCAACCCTTTCGTTAATGCAGTCTAACACCATCCCTGTGAATAAAGTAATTCCCCCTTGCACGCCCAGAGCCGGAGGCTTTCCTGCCCCTCGCAGATGCACAGGAGGTGCTCTGGTCTCATCAAGAGTTAACGGAAATGCTGCAAGATGAAAGCAAGGAACAAGAACAAAAATAAAATACCCTGAAACCTGCCAAGCGGAATCTCGCATCGCGGGCAAGAAGTAATAGCTAACGTGAACAAACCATGGCAGCTCCAAGGATTCACAGATGCTGTGTTTTGAGCCCTCTTGAAGCAACGCTATCTCAGCCAGATGACAAACACAAACTCCCCATCCTGCCAGAAGATCTGCTACATCCTCTTGCTTTCAAAGTGTCATATTTGGGAAAGAGGCTAAAAATACCCCACAGAGTTTATTAAGCTTCAATGCTGGGAGGCAGCCGGTTGCCTGTGTTGCGTGTCGGTCTGCAATGCGGCCGGGAGAAAGAGCCCAGCTCCAGCCCTCCGAGCTTGGAAACGCAGTTTGCCTTCCTGGAAAAAACAAACAGGGCCCCGCAGCCCGCTCCGGCCCGCGAGCCTGTCCAGCCAATGTGGCACTCGGCAGAGCAGAAAGCAAGGGTCTGCCGAAAAGCTTCAAGGCTTTGAGAGCTTTCTCCTTCTCCGCTGGAATGAAAACAAGCCCTTCCCGAGGCGGCCGAGCCGGCGCTGGAAGCTGCGCTGCCACCGTCCCAGCAAAGCCGCCTGGCACGATCACCGGGCTGTCGTGCAGCAGGTGGGATGCTTCATTTCTTCCTTTTCCCCGTCTCTTTGGGACCCTTTGGCGAAAGTTTTATCCAGAATTCCTCTTTTAAGGAGCCAACATTTTTTAGATAGGAAAAGCAACAACAGCTCCGCACAGTCGATCTCCCCAGCGACGCTGCGCTGCGCTCTCCCGGCACGCGCTCAGATCCTGCCAGCGAGACGGGGAGCACAGCTCGCAGCACTAACCTCGCCAGAGCACGGCGCCGCGGCTGAGCTCAGCGCTCCCGGCTCCCCCCTGCTCACTTAAAGCCCCTTCCCACCCTGCGGTTTCACCAAAGGGATCCTTCACGCCGTGCAAGCGGTACGCTTCGGACCCAACCCAGCTCGCTGGTCTGCAGCATCGCCGCTGTTCAGTTTTCCTGGTCGATGGAGATAAACCTTTTACGGCCAGACCAGCTCCCCGTTTCCCGCTCTCGGCAACGCTCTGCAGCATCACCCCTCGGCGGGCGACCCAGTGTTTGCTGCTGAGCCGGAGCGGGGAGCGATCGCCGCTGCCTGTGACCGCTGCCGGCTCTCCGGGGCTCCCCGGCCTCGCTTCTCCCAGGGCACAAGGCGCCGGAGGAAAGCGAGAGGGCATCTGGGTGCCCCTGCGCTGCTGGGTTCAACGGCAGGTAGATCACTATGCACCTCCGGGATCGGCCACCGCGCGCCCGGGACACCCCCAGCTCTGCGGGAACCTGCTCCGTCGGGGGTTCGTTACTGCAGCTGGAGGGAAAGGGCTTCGGGGGGCAGGAGACGGCTTCCAGAAACTTGGGACATGCTGCGCATGGAGAGGCAGGACACAGGCCTTCGGGAACAGCTGAGCGTTCACTGCCAGACCTAAAACTCCTCCTTCGCTGGGGCACCAGAACATGACACCGGTGTCCAGGCGGTGCCGAGCTCTGGGGGCCCCTGCAGCCCCCGTACCTTGTTCTCTCGGCCGAATGGGGACCGGCAACGTCGCCTCTGCCCTGCTCCGAGCTGGCCCTGGGCTGCAACGATACACCAAAAAGCAAAAGAACCCGGAAGAAATGCTAGCACATAGATGGGCTCCGCTAAAAATAGTGCCTGCTACAAAACAGGCAGAAAAATAGCTAAGCGTACCCATTTTGCAAACAGAATCAGCAAATGCATTCACTTTGCAAATTCAGCAACCGTATGTTGCCTATTTTGTAGAATAGGCAAAATGCTTCCCTAAACTGAAAAACCCCCTTTCAAGGACACTGAATAAACCGGCTGGCAGAAATTTACCTATTTTGCATGACAGATGACTTTTCTGTAAGCCATATTTTAGGAACCGTGCTCTTGCAGCCTAATTAAACTTTTTTCCCCCCAGCTCCTTGATATTCACAACAGAGCAACTCATTCTCAATTTAGCACAGTAACTGGTCGTTTCTAGCAGAAAGCAGCTCCTGTTTAGTTCCCTTCTGCTTCCAATAAAACCACATGATCCGTTGCAATCTCTGTTTTGAGGAAGGGAATATTGATATTTTTTCACAATTGCAGAAGTCATCAGTTATGGCTGGCAGGGTGTCCTGAGCAACGCTGGCCTGCCACGCCAGGTCACGCTGAAGGCCCGTGTAATCCAGTCAGTCTTCTCTGGAAATTTGGAAGAAGTTTTATCAGGAGAAAGCCTGAGTAACAAACGTATTCAAACACAAACGGGAGGCACAACTGTCCAAGTGCAAGACCTGTGGCTTTTGGAGGGTTGCTATAGCATGGAAAAAAAAAAAAAAAAAGAAAACACAGGAAAGAAAAGGAACATTACTTTATTCACCATAAATAAGAAAATAATCTGATCATTGGCTCAGAAAGGTCTGTGTAAACAGCCTTATTGAAAGCTGCTTTTAAAGGCAGAGCCTTCGAAGCACTTCCCAGGATCACTTATTTAGAGTTTTTCCAAAAATTCCTCCAAGCCAGAGAGGTTCTGTCCAAAACCAGCAAAGAAATTAATAAAACCTGCCACATTTTCAGCATAGGACACTAACGCTGGCGCCTGAGCCTGGCCCTGAGTAGCGACATTGAGTCAGGAACCGATATTTACACCTTCCACATCAAACACCAAGCCCTGAGTTGTGAGCTGAATCATCCTTCACGTTCATCCACAGAAAGACGCCGCAAAATCCACCTAGTGCTTCCCGGTCCGGGCCGCTCGTTTGCTCCTGCCATTTCCCTTCTTTGTGCAACCGAACCAACCGGCAGGTTTCGCCCTCCAGCTCCCGCTGGCTACTGTGGCAGGCAACCATCAGCACTGAAAATCTATACGTTCTGTAAATCCTACTTGAACTTTCTCCCCTTTTTGCTGCAGGCTTAGAATAAACGCCTTTGAAGGCTCGCAGTAAAACCCACCTTTCCCCCTTACATAACTGACAGCAATTTCGTCGCAGGTTGCTGCAAGTAAGCTCGCAGGGAAAGGTGTCTCAAACCGAAGCGGTCGGGGCTTGGTTTTGTTTTAAACCACAGATTCCTAGAACATCGTTCTGCGGCCAGCTGGGAAGAGTCGGATTAGTCTTTAGATCATTTATCGGAAGTAGAGTCAGTTTGTTTCACACCTCTCTTAGCATTCAATTACTCACAAAATAGACATTTACTCTGTGAATAGTCTCTCTGAAATCAATGAAGGGCTCCACTGTGATTAAGCCAATAGCTCATGTTTGCTTTGCACGGGGCGTGCGTGGAGGGAGCTGCTGCACGCCGCAGAATCAGGGACCTCTCGCTCACGTCCAACTTACTTCTAGCAGAAGAGATGCCACAGCGAGGAAGAAGACAACGCAACGGGCAGAACAGCGAGCACCAGCGCGACTGCGCTAGAAAGCTTCCTTTTCTTTCTGGCATCAAAGAATTACTCTGCTTTGTACATTCAAATTAAGATATAGGGGAATCACTTACCCACTGTTTGCGAGCATGATTTCTCCTTTTAAAGTACAAAATTAACTTTTTCCGCATTGCCTGGTTTCTGAAAAGGAGAAAAGATGAGATCCAATTAATGAGCCTGTTAAAATTCAAAGCCTTGCTCACTCAACTCACAATTTTGGATTCAGCAAAGCAGTTACCACCTTAACTTGGAATTGCATCAACTTCAGATCAGTAAATATAGCTATTCAGGGACCTTGCGCCAGCTTCAGAGAAAGACCAACCGTAGATAAACTCTCAAGAGCAAGAAGTTTCACTCGTGTCTATTGGCAAAGCCAGGGCTACGGGAGGACCAAATCCATGAACTCCCAATCCTGCAAACGTTCTCTAGGGGCTCACCACTAAACGGGGGTCCCACAGACACCGCCTGGCCATCTCACGCCACGCGGGCAAGGGCAGCGGGGGCCGCAACAGGGCACTCTGCTCCCTCCACGATATAACGGTCTATATGACCTGCGACATAACACAGCCTTGCGTTTCTCCCTGCGCCGACCTCAAAGCTCAGCCCTTCAGCGTTAGGCTGCAGGTGGGCCCCAACTGCTGGTTACAAGAGCACAACCGACGTCGGCACGGTGAGATCGGACCAGGGACGCCATCGTCTCCTCTGCAAGCTGTGGCCAGGGGGACGTCGCCATTTAAGCTGCCTGTAAATACACCAGCATCAGCCGCTCTCGGGGCTGAAACGGGCTGTCCGAGCAGGGACGCGAGAGCCGGGCCTGTTTTGCGGCAAACGCAGCTCCCCGACGCCAGGGTTGGGACCAGACGCGTGCCTGGGCCGCCAGCCGAACCAGGGCCCGTGCTGAGGCTCATTCTTTAGGCAAAGACAGCGCCCGCATCCTTCCGCGTGCGGACAGTTGGCTCTGCGTTTACCAATGGGCCAGGCTGGTGCTCGATATTTTTATATTTTGCTCCGCAAAAAAGCAACGGAGTTGCAAGAGAAGGTCCAGTTGCGCAGCTGAGCCCAACCTCTGCAGGGCAGGAGGCAACTCAGCCACCGCAGCCCCGAGCAGCAGCCGGCAGCGAGGGAGCTGTCAGTGCACACGCGCTTGCACCGGGTTATATTCACCCCCAGGCTCCAAAGAGCTGATAAGAAGGCAGGATTGCAGCAGTGGTTACAGCACATATCTCCTAACCTCTTGCTTTCTTGGAGCCGTGCCTAACAAAGCTGCAAACAAACCAGCTAGGAAAGTTCAGCCACTTGCAGAATTGGGACCTCGAGAGAGAAACTAGCCGCTACAACCACAAACAACCCAGCGTTCGCCCGGACTCCTTCCTGGTTACTGATTCTTCCCTCTTTTTAAAGAGGGCATGAACTAACCGCCCAGAAAAGAAACACCACCAAAGCAGCAAGGAGCTGGGAAGGCTGCACAAGCCCCGAGAGTCTGCACGGCCCTGAGTGCTGAACTTCAGTTGTTCCCGTTGTTAACATTTATAGCAATAAAACCTCTAGGTGAAAGGTAAAGACCAGGGGCAAAGGAGTTTCCTTAAGACTTTTATCCCAATTAAAGCCCGAGTTGCAGTATGTAATTACGGATCAGGAACTTAACAGTCTCTCTCATGTGGGCAGCTTCGCAGGATTTAGCGAAATGAAAATACACCCAGGCTGCTTCCTCATTCCCCTCCCTCCCACGTCCCCTGTGGCCCCGCGAGCCGCGCAGGGGCACCACGAGCCGGTCGGGATCCCCGGCACCACCCTAGCGCTGGCCCCGAATCCCTAGGGGCTGTCTGGGACAGCAGCTCCTCGGCACAGGGTCCTCATCCACCACCACCACCTCCAAGGCCAAGCACGGCTGCTGGAGGGACAGGACACGGGGCAGGGGCCGTTTCTCCTTCAGCGCCGCACAGCCCCACTCAGCTTCCTGGCCCCTCTTTAGGTTACTAAGGAAGAAACATGCTGGACTTGATTTTTAGTCCAAATCGTACCATTAGGACTTTGGAACATTTTGCTGCCCCCTCTTAATTAGCTACCAGAGGTACTGAATACCCGTGGAGGCCCCGAGCACCGGCTACGCCGTGTTACATCTTCGCTCTTTGACTTTGCCTCGAACGCTGTGATACAAAACCAGACCTTGATTTCCAAGGCAGAGCGAGCGAGCGGCCCGTGTAACTCCTCCTACAACGGGAAACCAGCAGCTAAGGGCTGGAAGCCGTTTCCCGTCGCTCGAGCCGTTGGTGGCACACTGCCCGAACTCCCGGTGTCCTCCCACCGACAGGCAGCAGGAGCACCGACAGCCCTCACAACCGCGCCAAGGACGGGGCTGAAGGCTTCCGCGCCCCCGCAGAGTGCAAACGCTCGGGTCCGCAGTGATTTCTGGAGCTTGAATATCAAACCACGTCCCTTGATTCCATTTCAGAAATCAACGTGCCACTGATCGGGGGGGGAGGAAACAAAAGATCCGTGCAGAAGCGCTGCTTCTGCCTTTGCTCTTTTTTCACGGTATGTTTACAAAGGACCCGCTGCTGTCCGGGCTGCGCTGCAAAGAGCAGAGCCGCCTCACTAGACGTATTAACAAACACCGCTGCCCAAGGCTTCTCCCTGCGGGATCGCACAGTCCCACTGCTTTTTGTCTCCGTGCCCATGGCACATCCATCCAAGAGCCTCAAAGCAGCTTGCAGGCAACGGCTGAACTAAATCTCACCGTTCATCTCCCAGGAAGTAGCATTCACTTGTCTTAAAAGTTAGGGAAACTGAGGCACGGAGCTGCGGGGGGGCAAGGTCAGTCCAGCCACATCGAGCACCC